TTTAGGTATATTATGATTTGAAAACGATACCTTTCCATACAAATTATATTTTAAAAGATGCATACATTCATAAATCGCATTATTATTATTATACACTTTAAAAACAAAAACTGAGAAATGACTGAAATAAATTAAATAGATCTGAACTTAGCGCTTTATTAGATAAATGACTCCCTCCCACAAACACACACATACATACAGGCGCTTCTCTCAAACCGTAAAACAAAACAGCGCGTGACTAGATAATCCAGTGTGTTGGCTAATTCAGTTACTGTAATGTTTGGTATGGTAACCCGAAACGGTCCGACGGTGTACATGGGTTACTTTTTGGGTTTTTTACCCGAGAAGAGGCATAAAGATACCCTGAAATATAGCACATTACCACATTTTTTATAGACCTTTTGCTTTGAATTGAAATATACAAGAAGTTAATCAGTTAAATGAGTCAAAGTAGGGTATGGAATTAGCATCTAATGAGACCATTGAGGATTTAGTAACAAAACAAAGAGCATCCTGTATATAGTTTATGTTTCGTTAACGGGTACCCTCAACTAGTATGTATAACCCGTGTAAGTTTCTTGATGTAACGACTAGATAATATGTATAACCTGTGTATTGTAAGTCTCTCAAAACGCAAGAAAATGTAAATATTTGTGCTGTACCAGGTGTACGACATATGTCCTGATGGCGATATATATTACCGTATTTAATTTCTAAGTAGTATGTGGCATCATTGAAAATGAAAAGTTTCAAAAAGTACTTCAAAATTTAACTTCACTTAGTAGCTTTGTGGCCATATTAATTTAGCCTGAATCAAAAGAAATTTCTCTACCCACCATCAGTAATACAATTCCTAGCTGTTTAAGTCGTTACAAATTGTTCTCCTGGAAATAAAGCGACCTTTGTCGCTTCTAAAGTGCTCGAATCATGATTATTGAGTCTTCTATTTCAAGAATTCGTAAAGCATGTTGCATTTAACTCTTTAAATATTCGCTCCCAAAAAGTTGAACCCACCTGAAACTTGAAATAATTCACCTTTAAGATTTTTATTAAAGAAACATGCATTGAATTTTGGTTAATTACTAGATAATTTTGCATTCTTGAAATATAAACAATGGCCTTGAATGTGGCATTAACTTTTGAGGTAAAAATAGGATGTTCACGCCGTTGTAGCTTCCATTAACGTTTGAGTTTCTAATTTTCCTAATTTAAAAGTCATAAATACAAACAAACGAAACGTTTGACCAATCAGTTCTACTAAGCAGACAAGCTACAAGTACCCTAAGCCGATTTATCAGGAAAACTCATACACCAGTTGTACAGCATCACTAATGAAATAACAAATTGGACTGCCTACTACACTTATGAAATACCACACACACACACATGGATAAGGGAGCTATCTTTTTAAAGAGGATGCAATTATCTGTTCAGGGATACAACGATTTTAGTACTGCGGGAATTAGAATAACTAAGAACAATCAATATTGTTAGGACAGCGGAAGTCACGCGACGCTGAAAGCATGCGCGCTGGAGTTTCTAGAAGGATCATGACTGTTCCTGGCAACTCTATTCTTTTCTAGGCGTCCTCTTTTATTGTATAAAAGCCCGGCAAATAAAGCGGGGAGAGATATAAAGACAGATAATTGAGTCAAGCGAGCTGTAGTGACCGTAAGTAAAGTGCGTGAATCGTTGTGAATTATAGTGTGTGTTTAAGTTAAAGGACTGTAGAAATTCTGTGTATTGCAAAGTTGTATTGAGAAAGAATAAACTAGTTTTATTTAAAGAAAGGACTTGTATCGCTGAAGTTCCTCGGGAAGAATTTAAACTGGAAATTAACAAACGACCAGAGACGTAACAATATTATTCTCATTCCTAGTCCATCTGTACATCATTAGCTACTTCTAGACTTCTGACCTGTTGTGTATATGATCCATCCTATGACTCGTGTACCTCAAAAACAACCTGTCTAACAGATAAAAGATGTCAGGATTGACAAAACAAAAGTAGAACTAAAATCGTGTAACACTGTTAGGCTGTGGTGACAATTCGAATGTAAAAACAGTTCTCGTCTTAAAGTTTGTAGAAGACAAATTTACAAAACTAATTAAGTTACTAGTATATAAAGTTAAACATGGCAGTTGAGTTGAAAATACATGCGCATTGTTCTTAAGTCTCACAATCATTATGTTATCAGAATTCATTTGTCATAGCACTTTTTTCTACAAATATTAAGTAAGGTTTTGAAGTTTTTAGAAAAAAATTATATAGAAGGGGGGGGTAATGCTTTTGGAGGAAGTAAACAATTAGTGGCAAAACCATACTAGGGGTCTGGGAGCATGCTTCCTCTGAAATATTTTCTAGCTTTCACTAAGAAGTTTGCATTTTAATGATGTCTAAGGTTGTTTTTACATCTTTTTTAAATATGTTTATATATACATTTGATGAACTTAAATGTATTTTTGTTATTACTTTGCCTTATATGGGTAAGTATTCTCTGCTTATTAAGAATCAGCTCGAAAACGTCATCAGTAGGGTATACCCGCAGATACAGCTGAGGTGTGTATGTTTAAGCCTAATTGTCGCCTTAATTTTTTTCTTTAAATTTAAGGACCAAATTCTGTTTTTACATTCAACTTTGGTAGTTTACTAATTTATTTGCCCTCGCTGTCAAAAAAAAAAAATCTAACATGTGTGAAAGAATATGCTAACCTAAGATTACCCTTTAAGTCAAGTATATTTGAGCACGCTCTAGGCGAATGTCCATTCCAATTCGTTTAAGATCTTAGTCAGGGTCAATGATAAACCGAGCCTCCGTGTAAAATAGAGTTTGCTCATTAACAAGCTCAAGTCTGAAATCAACGTTCTCACTTCAACAAGTGTATGGGTGCAAATTAGCGGTCCTATCGCATCCTTCATGCCTACGCGCATGGATAAAAGTAGTCCAATATTTGACGAGGATACTATCGACTAGCTCCTTTTCCCTCTAGTCTCTCGGTTTAAAATTAGGAATGGCTATATGGAAATAGCCCTTGTTTAACTTTCCAGGAAAGTTGGAAACAAACGAGAATAATTCTGTGTCATATTTGATGTTATCTTATCAAAGGCATAGTTTTCATAAGCGTTTAAAATTATGATTTGGGAATAATACCAGATGTATTTCCGCAGTAAATAAAACCAAAATTAAGAGCAACAAATGTTTTTATTTTTTACTTCTGAAGTCCATATGTCATGCCATATTGTAACCTACAGAGTGCATAATCATTCTCGTGATTCATGGCATGCGCACGTTTTACTGACGTCACAAATTGCAATATTAAGCATCCCTTATGTAACGTAATTTTAGTGTCTACTAACTGACAACACACTACTTAATAGTGGTGCCAGCGGTTATAACAGGTGACCGACTCCAGATGGCGTTAGGAACCCTTTCGGGGAAGTTATTCTATGCAACTGCGAATAAACTTTTTAAGCTTTAAAAATTAATAATAATAAATCAGCATTATGTGGTGACTTTCAAAATGTTTATGTATTAACAGTCTCCTCTGCATTGTTACTTTTTAAAAGTATACTATTCTTTAAGATTTCTGAAATTGTGATGCACCTTCCTTTGACTTTTTCATTAAAACATCCGGGTATTTTAAAAATTCAGCAGTTTAATTTGAGCGTAGACATTACTGGCAAAAACACGAATAACCTGAAGAGATAATTATAGATTTTAAAGAAATCGGAAATATCTGGTAATTTCTTGAAATAATATCTCTAACATTTTTCGTTTCTTAAGAAAAGTCGAGATTTTTTTAGCTTATCTTCTGTGGGTAATATACAAACGAATCTTGCCCACTGAAGTTGAATTTATCATTCTTAATGAACGTTAAAATGCTCTGAACAATCGTGAAATTTCGATGTGTCTAAATTATTTCGGTGAAATGGAATTTTGAAACAGTATTTATATATTGTTTGAATGTTCAGATTTATTCAGACAACGTTTGTTCTTCTAGATAATCGAATGAACAACAGTGAAAATGATAGTTTGGGTGCTACAACTACAACTGAAAGAAGTTCCGGTGAACCTTCCATTGGTATGTAAATAACTGCATCTTCTGACTTCTCTTGCCCATAATTGTAACCTCCTTTTCATGGGCTAAGTGTACTTTTGTTAGTCAGACTCGTCATCTGAACAAAACAACTTTTTCTGTAGACACCAGAATAACATTTTTCCTTTGTTTCATGTCTAAATTCTTCCTCTCTTTTTTTCAGAAATGCTGGCTAGTTTTAAGGTTTATTTTAAATTCTAAGAATGGCAGCATTTAACATTTGTGTCTCGGACGAAGATCTAAGTATCTTTAATTATATATATAGTAGCTATAGCTGATATTGGGTATTAAAAACTTTTATTTAAAAACACAAAACAAGTAAGAACGTTTCGACCTGTTTAGGTGATCGCCAAGTTAAGAATGAGATTTGAAAAGTGTTTGTTATTGATCGCAACGTTTCGACCTGTTTAGGTGATCGTCAAGTTAAGAATGAGATTTGAAAAGTGTCAGTTATCGATCGCAACGTTTCGACCTGTTTAGGTGATCGCCAAGTTAAGAATGAGATTTGAAAAGTGTTTGTTATTGATCGCAACGTTTCGACCTGTTTAGGTGATCGTCAAGTTAAGAATGAGATTTGAAAAGTGTCTGTTATTGATCGCAACGTTTCGTCCTGTTTAGGTGATCGCCAAGTTAAGAATGAGATTTGAAAAGTGTCTGTTATTGATCGCGTGTCGTGAAGACGACAGTAATGATAGGTGTAAGATTGTAGGGGACGTTGTATATATTTAATATGTTATATATTGTATTTATAAAATATAATGCATGATGTACATATCGGAGAAACAAGCCGAAGAATGGAAAATAAATTCAATGAACACAAAAAAATCACCCTCCCATGTTTTTGAACATTGTATCTCAAATAAACACAGTATAACAATAGAAAACACTGACATATTAGTTAAGATAAGAAACCAAAGGAAACAAACGAAAAATTAAAGAAGCTCTTCTACCACATGAACTTAAACCTACATTGAACCAGAATCAAGGAACACTTTTATATCTGTACTAATTTTTAACTAGTGTTAACTACCATATATAACAGATTAAATATATACAACGCCCCTACAATCTTACACCTGTCATTCCTGTCGTCTTCACGACATGTGATCAATAACGGACACTTTTTCAAATCTCAATCTTAACCTGCTGATTACCTAAACAGGACGAAACGTTGTTACTTATTTTGTGTTTTTAAATAAAAGTTTTAATACCCATATCAGCCGTCTCTACTACATATATATATATATTTACTTCAGGTGGGTTCCTCGTCGTCATAAGTATTTTATAAATTAATTTTACCCAAGTTTTAAACTTAAAGATATGTTTGCTTTTAAACTTCATTATCGTTGATTCATAACAAACCAAAACACCAAGTACATCTCGATTTAACAATAAACCACCCTTTCAAACATTCTATATTAGTGCAGTTCCATTATTGCTAACGATACGACACAAATAAGCCTAGAAGTAAATTAGTGCTTTTAAATTTTATTGAAACTTAAAACATAACAAATATGTCTACAAAACATTTCGACTCAAACAATTAGATAATACTGAAGGTTTTATCCAAGTCTATGTAGTCGTATTACTATGATAAACATAATACAAACATAATGCTTGTTTATATGGAATTATCCAGGTTTCCTGTTCGTTAATCCTCTGCCTATAAATAATCCTTGTTCGCTTAGTTATAAGATTGACGGACAGACAAAACGCTAAACTCTTCCTTGCCAATAATACCTCCTGAAAGTACTGGATGTCATTGGTACTGAGATACCATGGGCATTCTGAAGAACTTCCACATGCTTAAAAATGAGCTTGTTAAAGCGCTTTACTGTTGTTGTTGTTTTTTACACACACACAGCCTACTAAATATATCTCCACCCCTAGCGTTCAGTAAGTCGCATTATTGACCCAGCATGGTAGTTCGAGTTTACTTCATTTTCTCAAACGCGTAAATATTGTTTTGTTTGTTTGTTTGTTTTGAATTTCGCGCAAAGCTACACGAGGGCTATCTGCGCTAGCCGTCCCTAATTTAGCAGTGTAAGGCTAGAGGGAAGGCAACTAGTCATCACCACCCACCTCCAACTCTTTTACCAACGAATAATGGGATTTACCGTCACATTATAACGCCCCCACGGCTGAAAGGGCTAGCATGTTTGGTGTGACGGGGATTCGAACCTCAGATTGCGAGTCGAGCACCCTAACCACCTGGCCATGCTGGGCCGTGAGTACTGAATGATGACACAAACAAAATTAGGTTTTTGTTCAAAACCAGTTTTTTTTTTCTCTCTCTATTCTTGAAGGATTAATAAACAAAATGTTAACAACTTTATGAATGCTCGGTTGTTTTATACTGTTTATAAAAAGATAATTTTATAATACGTGCTTTAATTACATTCGTATGCTTTAATACAAACACTAGATATAGATAGTTTCCGATCCAGCAGACTATGAAGTAATATTTTATTATAGTGTGACAATAATGTCACGTCTTATTTTATAAACATAGTTTCAATGTTTTCTCAATCAGAAAAACTTACAAAGATTTCTAAAAAGAAATTGGTTTCATACAATTTTTAAAAGGCAAATCTTTTATAAATCTCTGAGTCTAAAGCAAATGTTTGTCACTTCAAAAAGAAACTTGAATGGAACTACTATTTATTTATTTATTATTGAACTACAAATAGAATTAAATAATAAAAATGAAATGCGTAATGCCAGTTAAGTTTTGTCTTATTTTCAAAATGTTTCATTGTTATGGTCTTTGAACGTCTATATATTCTTTAATTGGCTACTACTAGATCCCACAATGATTGATTACCGTAATCAGAGGTGTAGATACAGAGGAGGGGGGGGAGACGCAGTTAGTCTGTGCCTTACATTCCTAGAGGGGGGGCTCACTCGCCTCCTTTTTTTTAACGAAACATAACTGAGATGCGGTTAGATCATGCAATTGAATTATAGTAACGTTTTATTTGTTTCCCTCAACCACTTGCAGTAAGGGTGTTATGGTAGTTAGCAAAATAGTGCTAAAACTGTTTGGCCAATTTTTATGAAACATACCTCCAGTCAACCATTAAAGAAGAGCGTCTCTCCGATCTCGCGTGTAATTCAATCAACAGAGATGTGGCACCAAGTCTAACGCCCACTGAACTACAAAATCCTTTCTTTGGACACTAAAGCCTTAACTCTGCTAAGGCACTAAATGACTCGTGATTGTGTGCTTACCGTACCACACGCTCAAGTTTATAAAAATGCTCTTGCTACAGCGAGGAAGTTGTCTACCCTGTCACCGCTAAAACTAACTATCTATGGCAGTAATACTCTTTGTTACATGAGCCACAGTTTTAATCCTCATCAAATATAAAGTAAGCTTGTTTAAATGTTTACGTGTAAGTTATATAAATCTCCAGTTGCTGAAAATACATCTATTGTAATGCTTCATCATATAGATTAGGATTAAAACACCTCACTACATTTATATGAACAAAACAAACCCAAACAAGTGTGGGACGTTGTGGGCTTGAGCGCCCACATCCTACTCCCCTAACTTTATTTCTTTTCGTGATTTTATTTTACTCTTTATGTTTGTTTTGTTTGTTTGTTTTTGAATTTCGCGCAAAGCTACACGAGGGCTATCTGCGCTAGCCGTCCCTAATTTAGCAGTGTAAGACTAGAGGGAAAGCACCTAGTCATCACCACCCACTCTTGTACTCTTGAGCTACTCTTTTACCAACGAATAGTGGGATTGACCGTCACTTTATAACGCCCCCACGGCTGAAAGGGCGAGCATGTTTGGTGTGACGGGGATTCGAACCCGCGACCCTCATATTGCGAGTCGAGCGCCCTAACCACCTGGCCATGCCGGGCCTACTCTTTATGAATTTCTTCATGTGCGACTGACGAATGGAGGTTAAGACTGATAGACGGTGTATCCCCACAGCAATGTGGGTCCTACTTCCGCAGTCACCTCCAAAACCCAGGGTACATTTTATGTCCCACATTATAGCCTGGACCCTGGGGATCATTTTAATTTATGCAGCATCTATAATTTAATTTTGTTTGAGCTTGTTTTGTTCATTTAACTGTCAGTCATCACTGGTTTGGATTTGCTGTTTTTAACGCAGTCTTCCCTTTTGGTTTTATTTTGCTTGACTGTTTAGGTACTAATTTTCTATGTGTATATATATATCTGTGGTGAGCAAAAGACAACTGAAAACATCGTACATCTTATATATATCTTTCGAACATTGTGGTCTGTCCGAGCGTTCGTCTGTCTCCCATTTGAAAAGTTGCGCACGCAGACAAAGCTCAACGTTCACTTTTCAAATGACGGGAGAACAGGCATGAATATGGCGGGCAGAGCACATATAGCCCATTGTGTAGCTTTGTGCTTAATTACAAACAAACAAACAGGCATGAATAATGTTGATGCCAAATTTTGTTTAGCAAGCAGTATATTTAACATTAAATTGTTGGGAATTAACCACACTATCATTCACATTTCAAAATTTGAAGTAAATTAAATAATAAAAAGTAGATTTACCGTATGTTATTTTTAAGCGGCTGAAATGCTCAACAATTACTTGTCGCGGTGGGCCGTATAAGTAGCTCAGAACTTTGATTCTGAGTGAAATCAAGAGTGCAATACAATTAACAGTTTTAAAGTCCATGAAATAATTTAAATTGATAGATTAAGTTCAACTTTTCCCGTCACTGGGGACGGGTACTTTGATCGTTACTATAATGTCGAGTTTTTTTGTCGGACGAATGCATCTCTAGCTACCTAATAGTGAGGAGGAGGGGGCACCACTACACACCCATACGCACACGGTAGTTACGTTCCTTAATAAAATTTACTTAAATTACTAAAGACTAATGTAATTTATTATCGCTCAACAGCGATTGAGAAAATAAAATGGGCAATACAACGCTAGAAACCGGGTTTCGATACTCGTGGTGAGCAGGGCACAGATAATCCATTGTGTAGCTTTGTGCTTAATTACAAACAAACAAATAAAATGGGCAATAGGTGATTGCTTGCAACTGATAGACCGAATGAGGTTGAAATGAAGAGGGCAATACAACGTTAGAAACCGGGTTTCGATACCCGTAGTGGGCAGGGCACAGATAGTCCATTGTGTAGCTTTGTGCTTAATTACAAACAAACAAATAAAATGGGCAATAGGTGATTGCTTACAAGTGATAGACCGAATGAGATTGACATGAAGAGGGCAATACAACGCTAGAAACCGGGTTTCGATACCCGTGGTGGGCAGGGCACAGATAGTCCATTGTGTAGCTTTGTGCTTAACTACAAACAAGCAAATAAAATGGACAAAAGGTGATTGCTTACAACTGATAGACCGAATGAGGTTTAAATGAAGAAGGAGACGAATTGGACTTATATTTATTATATACATTACTATTTCATATTGAAGAAACAATTATTCAGGCTCCAAAATACAGTTCGAAACATTTAATGGAATGATGTATAACCGTTTCAACATTTCACAACCGACAAACAATAAGGTTTCAGGACAGTGGCCGCCTGTTGATATGTCGTACATTTATTTCTGTTTTCTTATACTTTCGTCAATTCTCGTTTGTACTTCTAAGATTTTATACAAATGCGTTTTATCTACTCACTACCCAATCTAATAATATTGATGAAATATATATACGTATACGTGGTGAAAAAATGAATGTAAAAAAATAGAATCACACAACTGCGACTGTATGTAGAAAAAATAAATCTTAAATATGAGAATTTAGCTTGGATAGCTCTTATCAGGAATCATTCAGAGATTTAAGACTTGTATTAAAAAGTAACAATGAGACAACTTAAAGGTCTATATGTGAATTATGATTTCTCTTGTTATAAGTTATTAGTTGTTTTAATCATATATAG